TTCAGCTCAAGGCTAGCACTCTACCACTTGAGCCACAGCACCACTTCTGGCTTTTTTCTTTTTGCTTATGTGGTGCTGAGGAAGCGAACCCAGGGCCTCAGGCATGCAAGGCAAACGCTCTACCACTGAGTCAACTTCCCAGCCCCTCACTTCGCTTTTTTGTACTCCAGGCTGACACTCTACCACTTGAGCTATACCCTTACTTCTGGCTTTTTGTTGGTTAGTCAAAGTCTCATGGTCTTTTCTGTCTAGGCTGACTTCTAACTGTCATCTTCAGATGTCAGCCTCTTGAGTATTCAGGATTACAGGCATGAGCCACAGCACCCAGCTTGGGAATATCTGACTCTTAATGTGTGCCTATTTCTTCTGAACTCTCCAGTCTCTGTCATCTACTCAGAGCCCGACATGGAAGAATCCTGCCTCTGTGTGGGTCTGTGGCCCTCGGCCACACTGATGCACAGCTGTATTTTCATTCCCTCTCCTGAAATCTCATTCACAGACATGTCTGGAAAGGTCAAGTTACTCTTTTCCCCATCAGTCCTCCTACATATCCTCTTCAAATTGTGAGGGTCCAAGAAAACCTTCCTCCAGCCCCTGAATACCATGGTTTCCATTTTTTTTTTCTCCCAAACCCAGGACCATAGAAACATAATAAGACAGAACAAGGGGGCTCTCCATCTGTCTCTTGTCTTCTAGTAGCATTGTCAGTCTGGCACTTGCTCCCGATGTCTAGGCCCCTGGTTGCTTCCAGCCCTGGAAACCTCAATGGTAATTAACTGGGCAGGGCCATGCACTGCCCATACACAGTTCGCCATCAGCCCAGTCCAGAGGCTCATCACCCCTCCACTCCTCACAATCCCCTTCCTTTTTAATCATATCCACCCACCAAATTGCCCCTTACCTACCTCCCACAGTTCCCTGCAACTCTGCCCACTTTAAAGACCCCTACCACCGCAATTATGTCCTGGCTGATTCTTCTCTTTTGACCCCAATTCCCTTAAAATCAGAGCTGTTATTTTAGGAAACAAAGATTATAGGGCACTGGACAAGGAAAAATTCCATGCCTCATTCCTCCCTAGGTTCTCTTCTCAATTATGTCTTGCTTTTTATTTGCAAGCCAGTCAGCAAGTTTATGCTACCAATAAAATAACAAGAGCTATGGCTCTAACTCAAAACATGCTCACTTTCCAAAAGGTATTTTCTATGCAAGCCTTTTTGCATTCAGGAGACCGGCAGGGTGGTACGACAGGGAACCACAGCGCATGGGTTAGCTGAACCAGGTCTGACCACATAGCGAGGCAGTTACGCCTTCCGCCCCAAGCATAACCGAGGGGAGGGAGAGAGAGCAGGAATCAGATTTGCCACTTGCATTTCTCTTCTGTTTCCCCATTCCCATAGGACTTAAGACAAAGGTTTTAGAGAATTAGGTACAAATTTGCCTTTGTGGAGTACGAGGGCTTGAACTCAGGACCCAGGTGCTATCCCTTTGCTTTTCCAATCAAGGCTGGCACTCTACTTCTTGAGCTATGCCTTCTGCTTCCAGCTTCTTTGCTGATTAACTGGAGAGAAGAGTCTCAGGGACTTTCCTGCCCGGGCTGGCTTTGAACCTGGATCTTCAGATCTCAGTCTCCTGAGTAGCTAGGATGACAGCTGAGCCACCTCGCTCAGCTGTTAGGTACAAATCTTATGCAAGCCTCCTGAGACTCATGTAGGGAGACAGGAATATACGCAAAGGTACGGAATGCACAATCAGTACTAACCTCCTACCTTATCTCCCAAAGAATATTAACTCCCCAGGGATCCCCATTCCAAACAATCCATGTCCCCTCCAGTCCCACAGAATTGAAGATACTGCGTTCCCTCACCTGTCAGTAGCATCAGGGGTAAGAACAGGTGAAGGAAGAGGGTGAGCTCCATGCTGGGTCCTTGTGCCCTGCGTGAGAAGTCCTCTGTGCCCGCGTCCCTCTCCCTCTCTGTTTTCTTTACTTTCCCTCCTATCCTGCCCCCTCCCACTGGCAGCTAAAAATAAAGTTGGAAGGAATGGGAGGAGGGGTGGCGGGAAACTGTGGGGAGCCCCAGCCCGGGGCCTGGAAGGCTGAGGGCTCTGACTAGTTCTCTGCCTTTGTGCTGCCCCCTGGAGGCCTCATTTCAGTGTCTAAAGAACACTTTTTCTTTTCTTTTTTAAAGTCAGTACTGAGGGTGAACTCAGGGGGCCTGGGTGCTGTCTCTGAGCTTCTTTTGCTCAAGGCTAGTGCTCTACCTCTTGAGCCACAGCTCCACTTCTGACTTTTTTCAAAAGTAGTTTATTGAAGATGAGATTCTCACAGACTTTCCTGCACAGGCTGGCTTCAGACCACATTCCTCAGATCTCAGCCTCCTGAGTAACTAGATTCTAGGTGTGAGCCACTGGTGCCTGGCTTGAGAACAGTTCTCACCATCTTTGCTGCTTCTTTTTCTTTTCCTACCTTAGTTACCAGGTCCATAATGGTTTCCTCAAATTTGGAAGTGAGAGACAAGATTCTTTTCACTTTCTAATCTTATTTATCTCTACTTTAGATATACAAAATAAAAGCTGATAGCAGTGGCATAATTTTCCCCCCTACTCAGAAGAATCACAGTGTTTGAAGACACAATTCCCAAAGCAGACCTTGGCAGCCCAGGGCACTGCATGCAGTTCATGGCTCCTAGCATGTGCAGCCCTGTAGTGTTTGGAGGAACAAGTTCACATATCTATGAATGAGCATGAGCTGTGTTTTGCAATCCTCAGATCTCAACCTCCTGACTAGGTAGGGTTACAAGTCAAAGCCATTGGCACTGAGCATCAACATCTCAGCTGTGGGAACCATAGATCTTCCTAGCTTTCAGCATGTCTGTCATGTAGAATTCCCCCCCCTGCACACTGTATGTTCTCAGTGAAAATGTGTGGCCAATACCATGGAAAACCCAAAGTATAATAACAGGAATAGGGGACACCACATCAAATGTCAATGAACAGTTGAGTACAGTGGCACATACCTATAATCCTATCTACTCAGAAAGTTGAGGCGGGAAGATTCCAAGTTTATAGCCAACCTGGGCAACACAGTGAACCTCTGTGTGAGGGGAAAAAGTAAGAGGGGCGAAGGAGGGAAGGAGGGAAGGAGGGAGGGAGGGAGGGAAGGAAGGAAGGAAGGAAGGAAGGAAGGAAGGAAGGAAGGAAGGGAGGAAGGAAGGAAGGAAGGAAGGAAGGAAGGAAGGGAAGGAGGGAGGGAGGAAGAGAGGGAGGGAGGCAAAGAGGGAAGGGAGAGGGAGAGGGAGAGAGAAAATGAGTAAACATCTTTAATTTGCTGACTTGAAAGGTTTGTTCTCCATTGTGGATATGAACCAAACCTATTCACACAGAGTCATTTGAAAGGTTTGTTCTCCATTGTGGATATGAACCAAACCTATTCACACAGAGTCATTATACAGTATTTACAGCAAGATGCTAGGCACAGCATCAATCTGGATAGGTGAAGAAGGATAGGAAACAAAATTCTGAGATTAAAGTATAAGAAGAAATCTGAAAGTATGGGTACAAGGAAGGAAGAGGGCTAAATCATAGTGTAGACCTGAGGGAGGAAGAAGAAACATCAAACAACTTGGGGTACAGAGAGATGTGGAAGGAGACCACTGGGACATGACAAAAGTCATAAAAATTATGATTTTGTAAAAAATTATAATTTGGAGATTGAAGGAGAAAAAGAAAAATAAAACAACCACGTGGCAACTCTAAGTGTAAAAAGAAAATAGCAAGAAGGTAGTTATAATTTTATAACACAAACCTTATAATGTCCCCTATCAAAAAGTAATTGTTGCTGGGCATTGGTGGCTCATGTGTGTAATCCTATCTATTCAGGAGGCTAAGATCTGAGGATCTAGGTTTGATGCTAGCCAGAGCAGGAAAATCTGTGAGACTCTCATCTCCAATTAATCACGGAAAAAGCTGAAAGTGGTACGGTGGCTCAAGTGGTAGAGTGCTAGCCTTGAGCAAAAGGAGCTCAGGGACACTGCCCAAGCCCAGAATTCAAGCCCCAGGACTGGCAAAAATTTTAAAAAACTAACAAGAACAACAACAAAAACTAATTGTTGAAATTCTTGGACAGCGGTCTGAAAAGGAAAGAAAGACACAGAGACAGAGTCTGACATAGACAAGACAGATAAAGTCAGACTCAGACCATGAAAGAGGAAAAGAGCAAAGCCTCAAGCACATCTGGATAGCAGACTCTATTGACAAGCCATCTGTCATGACCTCATGTTTTCCTAACAGTCTTCCCTCCACCCCCTAAATCTCTGGATTTTTCATTTGAACCAAGGAAAAGAATTAGAATGAGAATTCAGATAGTCCACAAGGGATGGTCTAAGATTCCATCTCACAAATCCCCTCCTTATTCTCCGCCAGGCTGTCAGGGCTTGAGTCGGAGCCAGGGGTAGACCAGAGTGAGGATAGACAGGATGGAGGATATGAGGCCACAGAACCCCACAATCCCAGGGCCACAACGCCAGAGCCCGAGCTTGTCCAGCGGAATGAAGAGATCACAGGCGTTTCTGACTACATCCAGCAGAAGAGGCGGATGGCCTTGAAGAACCCGAGCCAAGAGCAGGACTCGCAGCCGCAGCTTCAGCGCCAGCTGGGGTAGGCCTCCTCCTGGAGTCCCTAGTCCCCCAGGCCCCCCAGTTTCATTTCCTCCAGGGACTCCACCTCCAGAACTCTTCAGCCGCCTGCTGCAAGCTGAAGACTCTTGCTCCATCAGTAAACGTATCTCGTAAGCATCACGGCTCAAATTCATGATGAGGGAGAAGAGGTAGTACCTGAGATACACAGGAAGATTAGAACGGGCGTGGACAGATTCTAAACACAGCCATACAACACTCAAATACCTTCTCTTCATAGTCGGGTGCCAGTCATTCACACCTATAATCCTAGCTACTCAGGAGGCTGAGATCTGAAGATTACCATTTGAAGCCAGCCCAGGCAGATAAATCCTGTGAGACTCTTATATTCAATTAGCCAGCAAAAAAGCCAGAAGTTGAGGTGTGGCTCAAGGAGTAGAACACTGGCTTTGAACAAGAAAGCTAGGGACAGTACCCAGGCCAAGTTTAGCACCCACTACCTGTCCCCCTCAAAAAAAGGCAAAGGGCTGGTGGCTCATGCCTGTAATCCTAGCTACTCAGGAGGCTGAGATCTGAAGATAGAGATTCAAAGCCAGCCTGGGGAGGAAAGTCCTTGAAACTCTTATCTCCAATTAACCACCAGAAAGCCAGAAGTGGCACTGTGGCTCAAGTGGTAGAACAATTGCCTTGAGCTGAAAAGCTGAGGGTAGGCCCAGAGTTCAAGTCATACGACCAACCAATAACCACTAAAATAACCACTAACCAATAAAAGCTGAAACTGGAGGCATGGCTCAAGTGGTAGATGCTGGCAGGGTTCAAAAAAGCAGAGAGAGAGGCTGGGCACTGGTGGCTTACACCTGTAATCCTAGCCACTCAGGAGGTTGAGATCTGAGGATTGTGGTTCCAAGTCAGCCCAGGCAGAAAAGTCCATGAGATTCCTATCTCCAATCAACCACCAAAGAGCCAGAAGTAGAGCTGTGGCTCCAATGGTAGAACACCAGTCTGATGCAAAAGCTAAGGGACAGCGCCCAGACTCTTTGTTCAAGTCCAGTACTGACACAAAGAACTGACACAAAGAAGAAAGGAAAAAAAAAAGTTTATACCTGTTCAAAAAAGACATTTATTTTCCTAATATTTTAAGTCTACAATTGGCTGAATTCACAGATGTGAAACAGATAGATATGAAGCTGAGTGTATATTTGGAAAGGCCCTGAGTGATCTTTCTCTTATGAAAAATTATGCAGCATGAAAGTGACCAAAAGGTCTTTATAGGATAAAAGAATAACAAACCTGAATGACCGCTGGGCCCACTTCTCCTGATCCACACCGGGAGCCAGTCCAGACTTTCCAGCCCACAGGACATTGTCACAGGCAAAGTATAAGGCTCGATTGAGGTGACTAACGGTGATGCAGAATCTCAGGACAACGTCTGATAGGTGCACAGCTCTTTTGGCTGATTCAAGGGCATCCGCTGAGTTACCCAGACGCAGAACTGGGAGGTTATCAAAGAAAGCAAGGATGTGAGGTAGAGTGACGAGAGTAAGACATACAAAAAAGGGAGATAACAGCAGAGTAAAAGTTGAATAAGTGGGGGCTGGAAAGGTGGCTCAGTGGTAGAGCACTTGCCTTGCATGCCTCAGGCCCTGGGTTTGATTCCTCAGCATCACATAAGCAAAAAGAAAAAAGCCAGAAGTGGCACTGTAGCTCAAGTGGTAGAGCGCTAACCTTGAGCTGAAGAGCTGAGGGACAGCGCCCAGAGTTCAGGCCCCACGACCAGACCCCCCCTCCCAAAAAAAAAAAGAGCTGAGAAAAAAAAAAAACTTATTCTTTTGCCAGGCACCAGTGGCCTTAGATACGCAAGAGGCTGAAATTTGAGGACTGAGGTTCAGAACCAACCTAGACAGGAAAGTCCATAGGACATTTATCTTCTTTGCTGGGTAGTTTACACTTGTGATCCTAGCTATTCAGGAGGTCTGAGATCTGAGGATCCCAGTTTGAAGATAACACAGGCAGAAAAGTCCATGACTCTTATCTCCAATTAACCACCAGAAAACCAGAAGTAGAGCTGAAGCTCCACAAGAGCACAAGAGCTCAAGGACAGTGCCTAGGCCCTGAGTTCAAGCCCCAGGACCCACAAAAAAAGATACTTATCTTCAATTAACCAGCAAATACCTAGAGGTATGGATCAAGTGGTAGAGCACCAGCCTTGAGAAAAAAAGCTAACTGGCACAAAAAAAAATTCACTTTTTATTCAGATTTTAATTAGTTTTTTTTTTTGTTGGTCTTGGGGCCTGAACTCGGCCTGGGCACTGTCCCTCAGCTCTTCAGCTCAAGGCTAGCGCTTTACCACTTGAGCTACAGTGCCACTTCCAGCTTTTTCTGCTTATGTGGTGCTGAGGAATAGAACCTAGGGACACATGCATGCAAGACAAGCACTCTACTACTGAGCTACCTTCCCAGCCCAGATTTTAATTAGTCTTAACCCCAATTTACTTCCTTTCTTTTGGTCAGTCATGGGTCTTGAACTCTGGGCCTGGGCGCTGTCCCTCATCTCTTCAGCTCAAGTCAGGTTGTGGGTTGTGGCTCTACCCCTTGAGCCACAACACCACTTCCAGTTTTCTGGTGGTTTATTGGACCCTCAGATCTCAGCCTCAAGAGTAGCTAGGATTACAGGTGTGAGCCACGGTGCCCCACTCATTACTTCCTTATACCTATTCTTCGTGTGTGTGTTGGAACTGGGACTTGAAATCAGGGCCTTATGCTCTTGTTTGACTTTTTCTACTCCAAGCTGGAACTCTACCACTTGAGCCACACTTTCACTTTATGCATTTTGTTGGTCAATGGGAGGACCAACAGTGTGAGTTACTGGCACCAGGCTTCTTGTTTATTTTTTCCCCTTATTTGGCTTGTATCTGTTGGGGTGGAAGTTGTTCACTGTCACATCTCCACACTTGCACCTTTACTTTCTTTCAACAGGAGGCATTAAAAAAAAACAAGTGATGAAGAAATGGGGGGAGAAAAGGGGAGGTCAGGAATTAGGAAGAGGGTAAAATGGGCAAATAGTTTGGGATGAAGGAAAAGTTGGGATAGTTGGAAAGTTGCAATTACTTACGCTTTCTTCCAAGGCTCAAATGGCTCTCCAGTTGTCTGATCTGTTTCTGTAACTCAGGACTGGCCCCGTGTCTCTGCAGTGCATGGCCAAGAAGTGAGCAAGCATATTGGGCAGCCCTGGAGGAGAGGACAAAGTAAGTTAGACCCTCCTACCCTCCCCCTCACACCTGTAATCCTGGCTAGCTACTCAGGAGGCTGAGATCTGAGGACTGAGGTTTGAAGCTAGCTGGCACTGCAAAGCCTGTGAGCCAGTCTCTTATCTCCAATTAACCAGCAAAAAGCTGGAAGTGGAGGCCCTGAGTTCACGCTCCAGTACTGGCACGCAAGCGCAAGCACACGCACACTATCCTTCAAATGAGGACAGACTTCTCCTTTCCTCCTCTTTAGGCCTATATCTCACTGCTTCTCCTCCAGGCCAGGGAAAGATGCATGCGTAAAGGGGCCTAGAAGGGGGTTCCGAAACTAAAGCTACGGCACGGAGGAGGCCTGAGGTCAGGAGGCAGTGGGAGTGCAACACAAGCACATCAGTAATGACACAAGGGGGGGAGGGGGAGGGGGGCCATTCCTCGGAACAGGTGGACCAAGAGGCTGCGAGGCCCTCGGACTGAACGGAGATGGGCCGGGGGGTGGAGGGGGAGGACGGTGTGGAGCTGCTCCCCACCGCCGAGCGCAGCGCGCGGGGCAGAGACTGAGCGAAGTGGGGGGGCTCCCCGGGGCTCCTCACTGCAGCCCGCCGGCGAGGACACTGTTGGGTCTTATGTGGACGGAGTGACCTCCCCGCTGCCCCCACCCCCACTCATGCCTCAGTTTCCCCATCTTTCCCGGGAGCAGAAAAGAATCCACCACCTCACGACCGGCTCCGATATGTGCCTCGGGGTCCGTCCGGGCCCCCGTAGCCCGAGTTGACCCTTTGGGACACCCGTAGCCCGGGATGGAATCTCTCTTCACCAGAACCTTCCTCAGCCCACCCTCCCTCCGTTCCTCTGTCGGCCGCACCTACACAGCCGTTCCCGGGCCTGGCTCTGAGCGCCGAAGCGGACCCAGGCGTCCATGACAGCGGCGACCCCGGCTCCTCGGCGTCGCGGAGTCCCGCCCCGGCACCGCCCCCGCCCCACCCCCTGCGATCGACGGCGCTCCGCGAGGGACAAACGTCGTCGGGAAGGAAAGCTAGCGGAGCCCGCCCTCGAGCCGGCATTTTAGGACGCGAAGCGCTCGTCCTTACCCCTACACGTGGTGTTCCTGTGCGTGCGGTCTTCGGCAGAGCACTCCCGCCGGGTAAGCACGCCTCCCAGGGAACAGTTTAAATATCCAGGGGCGGGGCCGGAGAGGGGCGGGGCCGGATGACGAGCGCCTCCGGCGGGGCCTGCGGGGCGGGGCCTGTGCGGAGCGGGGCCTAAAGGGCAAGGGCGGTGGGCGGGGCCTGAGGGCGGGGCTAAAGATCCGCAGTGATCTTCCAGCCCTGCGGGCCAGCAGAGGGTCCACCACCCGCCACCACCCCTACCCCCGCCACCACCCCTACCCCCGCCACACACACACACACACCGACGCGATCCAAAGCTCTAGCTGCAAAAGACATCTTAGGCAATAGAAGTTCAAAGTCCCGGCTAAATCAAGGGAGAAGCGGGTATGATTAGCACCTAATTTCTGTGGGGTGACCTCCCTTAGCATAGATGGAGAGACAAGAGACTGTAGGGGACGCAATTCGCCATCACCACCTTCTGATCCTGAAAAGGAGAGTGAAGAATCAGCGGCCCGGGTTAACCGCTCCGTACCCACACTCCCTCCTCTCCTCCTCCTCCCTTCCAGGCCTCCATGTCTGCAGGCAACCGCACCGACTGGGGGTCAGCAGCCGGGCCGGAGGTCTGGGCGGGATCAGGAGTAGAGGTGGAGGGTTCAGAGTTACCCACCTTCTCGGCCGCAGCCAAGGTCCGAGTGGGAGCGACCATTGTGCTGTTTGTTTCCTCGGCTGGAGGAAACCTGGCCGTGCTGTGGTCAGTGACCCGGCCGCGACCCAGCCAGACCCGTCCCTCTCCGGTCCGGCGACTCTTCGCCCATTTAGCGGCTGCCGACCTACTAGTCACTTTCGTGGTAATGCCTCTAGATGCCACCTGGAACATTACAGTCCAGTGGTTGGCAGGGGACATTGCCTGTCGGACACTCATGTTCCTAAAACTAATGGCCATGTACGCCGCCGCTTTCTTGCCCGTAGTTATCGGGCTTGACCGCCAGGCGGCAGTACTCAATCCGCTGGGACCCCGCTCTGGTGGAAGGAAGCTTCTGGGGGCAGCTTGGGGACTTAGTTTCCTGTTGGCCGTGCCCCAGGTGAGTAACTTGGTATTTGGTTTCACCATATGAACTTGGATTGCTAAAGTGCATATGTGCACGCCATTAGCTTGTAGTCCTTTTAAGATTATTTGCATGTTATTTGAGGGTTGCTATCCTTTGTAGCAGTTTTTTCTTTTTTTGGTTGGTCGTGGGGCTTGAACCCTGGGCTTGGGTGAGTGCTCTACCGCTTGAGCCACAGCGCCACTTCTGGTTTTCGAGTGGTTTATAGGAGATAAGAGTTTCATGGACTTTGCTGCCTGGGCTGGCTTTGAACCGTGATCCTCAGATCTCAGCCTCCTTAGTAGCTAGGATTACAGGCGTGAGCCACCGGCACCCGGCTCTAGCAGTTCTCTTATATTATCTGTCCCTCTTCTTTAGATCTAGTGTTTGGCTTCCAATTCCCCATAACATCCCATACTAAGTCGTTCTTCTGATAACGATGCAGAAAACCTCTGGATAAGGAGTTGGGGGGTGTAGCTCAGCGGTAGAGTTCTTCCTTAGCAGTCAAAAGGCTCTGGGTTCAATCCCAGGTACTGAAGAAAGAAAACCTTTGGGGCAGGAAGGAGTGAAGTCACTGTCTTTGATTAATACTTTGTGGTACAAAACATGAAGTGTGTCATCTCTAGGCTCTGGTGGCTCGCATCTGTTATCCTAGTTATACATGGCTACACAGGAGGCTGAGATTTGAGGAGCCCAGTGTGAGGACCCTGGCTTAAAACTAAGCAGGGTAGGAAAGTCTGTGAGACTCTTCAACTACTGAACAAAAAGCAGGACGTGGAGGCGCGGCTAATGAGCACTGGAACAAAAAAAATTAATCAAGAGCAAGAGGCTCTGAGTTCAGGCCCCCTTATCACAAAAAGTGTTATGCTAAAGGTAAAGAGTTCAAGAACACAACTCTACTCTTCAGGAGTTCAAAAACAACAGAATCTCAGGTCAGGGAAAGCTTTCTAAAAATGATTTAAAAAACAAACAAAAAACCAGACAGATACCAGTGGGTCACACTTGTAATCCTAGCTACTCAGGAGGCTGAGATTTGAGAATCACAGTTCAAAGGCAGCCCGGGCAGGAAAGTCGGTGAGATTCTTATCTCCAATAAACCACCAGAAAACAGGAAGTGGTTCTATAGTTTTCAAGTGATAGAATGCTAGCGTGGAGCTGAAGAACTGAGGGACAACACCCAGGCCCGGAGTTCAAGCCCCACAACTGGACTCCCCTCTCCCCCCCCCAAAAAAAACTTGAAAGACAGCAAATGATAAATTCTTAAAACCAGTTAAAGCAGGAGAAAGGCTAGGAGAATGGAAGGTAAAGGATCTCAAAGACGTTGCTGCTAAAACTAAGGACTTGGTATGAGTGAATAATCAGGAAGGAGAGGAAAGAAGAAATACTAAGGTTTTACTTTATCCTGAGGGCAGTGGAACACACTAAGGTAAGGGATGAATAGTGATGTGGTGTTACTAGTTTTTCCTTTCTATGCTAGATTTACTGAAGAATGGGTATTAAAAATTAGGAACACAGCTGGGGCAAGTGACTCATACCTGTAATCCTAACTACCCAAGAGGCTAAGATCTGAGGATCAAGGTTCTAAGCCAGCCCAAGCAGGAAAGAAGGTGAGATTCAAGTGATAATATCACTAACTTAGAGCTAAGGAGTTCAGGGACAGAACCCAGGCCCAGAGTTCATGCCCCACAACCAACCAACCAGAAAAAAAGAAGAAAAGAAAAAAAGAAACACAAAGACATCTGAACTTGGTTTCTGGTTAACCAAATCTCAGTTCTGAAAAGGAGCTCAAAGTCTAGAAAAAGTTAAATATGGAGAATTTTCTTCCAAATGAAAATCACTACCTTCGCTTGAGACTGCAGAATTAAGATTATGTTTGCAAGGAAACCAAGAAGGGCATGCAATTTCAGTCTTCAGAATATTAGATGATTTAAGATGTGAGCCTCAAAACCTAAAATATTATAAAATTAGCTGCCAAAAAAAGAGATAAGTACTAAGGACAAAAAAAAATTTACTTCCAGGGCTGGGAAGGTGGCTCAGTGCTAGAGGGCTTGCCTTTCATGCATGAGGTCCTGGGTTCGATTCTTCAGCACCACAGATGCAGAAAAAAACGAAGCGGTGCTGTGGCTCAAGTGGTAGAGTGCTAGCCTTGAGCTAAAGAGCTGAAGCACAGCACCCAGGCCCAGAGTTCAGGCCCCACGACCAGCCAAAAACAAAAAAACGAAAAAACTTCCTACAATGTCAAACAGGACCTCTACCATCCCACACTTAGGACCTTATTGCCACAGTGAAACTGGAATTGTTTAATCTGTTTATATGAAACAAACCTTAGATAGGGACTGGGAATTGAGTATCTTTGTTGCATTGTTTGACTGTTTAACTTGGCTCTACCACAAGCTTGTGACTTTCACTGAGTCACTTGAAACCTATGAGGCCTAAGATGATGAAATAAGAAATGACATTTTTCTTACAGCTGGCAATAACTGCAGTCTAATAATTGCAATGCTTCAATGGCATACTGATCTTGACATGTATATGCAAAAGCTTGATATATTTTTGGGTTCCAAGTTGTGTCTTTCGATAGCCTCTGTCTTGCCCATGTGTTGTAGCATGTCATGAATCTGAAATGATTGGGGTTGGGAAGGTGGCTCAGTGGTAGAGCGCTTGCCTTGTATGCATGAAGCCCTGGGTTCGATTCCTCAGCACCACGTAAGCAGAAAAAGCCAGAGGTGGTGCTGTGGCTCAAGTGGTAGAGAGTTAACCTTGAGCTGAAGATCTGAAGGACAGCGCCCAGGCCGAGTTCAAGCCCCACGACTGACCAAAAAAAAAAAAAGATGAAATGATTAGCTATCAATACAAAATTTATAGTGATTTTTTAAAAGCATGACAAAGAAGTAATAGGTATTAATTAGATATTACTTACTCTTAGCCAGGAATTGGGGGAATCATACCTGTAATCTTTCAGGAGGCTGAGATCTAAGGTTTGCGGTTCAAAGCCAGTCTAGGCAAGAAAGCCCATATGTATCTTTTTTATTTTAATTCTTGTCGGTCATGAGGTTTCAGCTTAAGGCCTGGACGCTGTCCCTGAGCTTTTTTGGCTCAAGGCTAGCACTCTACAACTTTTGAGACACAGGTCCACTTTCAATTTTCAAGTGATTAATTGGAGATGAGTCTCCTGTCCAGGTTAGCTTCAGACTACAACCCTTAGATCTCAACCTCCTGAGTAGCTAGGATTACAGGCATGACCTACCGGTGCCAGGCTTCTGTGAGACTGTCATCTCCAATTAACAACCAAAAAGCCAGAAGTGCAGCTGCATTCAAGCCCCAGGATCAACACCAAAAAAAAAAAAAAGAAAGAAATTACTGACTTTTGTAGACTCATTCCAGGCCAATCCATGGTTAAAAACGCTTCTACTATATGTAAGTTACATAGAAATGCGAGGCAGAGGCAAGGATATGACCAAACTCTAAGTCCAAGAATTTGAACTTTTTTTTTTTTTGTCGGTCGTGGGACTTGAACTCTGGGCCTGGGCGCTGTCCCTCAGCTCTTCAGCTCAAGGCAAGCACTCTACCACTTGAGCTACAGCGCCACTTCCAGTTTTCTGGTGGTTTATTAGATAGGAGTCTCACGGTCTCTCCTGCCCGGGCTGGCTTTGAACCGAGATCCTCAGATCTCAGCCTCCTGAGTAGCTAGGATTACAGGCATGAGCCACCAGCGCCCAGCTTTTGAACTATTTTTACACTTCTCACATTTTCAAGTATGTCCAGACATGGGGATAAAAAAGAAACAAAAAAACTATTCCTGAACCCAGCATGGGTGGCTCATGCCTGTAATATTACCTCCAATTAACCATTCATAAACCAGAAGCAGTGCTGTGGTCCAAAGTGATAAGAGTGCTAGTCTTGCAAGAGCCAGGGACAGTGCCCAGACCCTGAGTTCAAGCCTCACAACAACAACAAAAATTATTCCTCAGCCTAGTCAACAAAAACTTGTCTTTGGCTGATTTTTTTTTGCTTTTTTATTTTACAAGATATAACCAGAAAAACTATTTTAAGACAATAATATAGGCAAAGTTGTAGGTACTATGTTACAAAGTGCAATATTAGAATAGTATTTGAGAAGCCAGGCATCTCCAATAAACTACTCAGAAAAAGCAGGAAGTGGTACTTTGGCTCAAGTGGTTGAGCACAAAGAGGCTCAGGTCTAGGCATCAGTACCTCAAGCCTATAATCCTAGCTACTCAGGAGGCTCAGATCTGAGGATCATGGTTCAAAGCCAGTGGTCCTTGAGATTCTTATCTCCAATAAAACACCAGAAAACCGGAAGTGGCACTGTGGCTCAAGTGGTAGAGTGCTTGCCTTGAGCTTAAGAGTTCAAAGACAGTATCCGAGCCCAGAGTTCAAGTCCCAGGACAAAAAGTATTTGAGGTACAACAAACTTCATTGCACTGCTCTGCATGGTGTTAAGAGGTAACTGGGAGATCCTATAACACCACTGGATAGTTTTGAATGCTGTAGGAAGTAGTACTAATAGAGCTCAACTCCACTCCAGCTGTTCCTGTTCCACACTGTCCAGCGAGCTGGCCCAGTCCCCTTCACTCAGTGTGTCACCAAAGGGAGCTTCAAGGCTCAATGGCAAGAGACCACCTATAACCTCTTCACCTTCTGCTGCCTCTTTCTGCTGCCACTGACCGTCATGGCCATCTGCTATAGCCGTATTGTCCTCAGTGTGTCCAGTACCCAGACCACAAAGGCAAGTCATGGTAAGAATAATTCCCAGACTGTAATCCTTACCCTGAAAGTATTACTTACATATCTGCTATGACAGTATGGCACTAAACCAAAGTGACTTAAGTGCTCATTATTTTCTAGTCAGGTGCTGGTGGCTCAGCCTGTAATCCTAGCTACTCAGAAGGCTGAGTTTAGAGGCTGGCAGTTTGAAGCCAGCCTAGGCGGGAAAGTCTATGACTCTCATCTCTAACTAACCTACACAAAGTCTACACTTGAAGTGTGGTTCAAGTGGTAAAGTATCAACCTTTTAGCAAAAAAACTAAGGCACAACATCTAGGCTCTGAGTTCAAGCTCCAAAACAGAAAGAAAAAAAAAAAAAGTAAACTGCTTCTAGCGAAACTAAGCCATAAAAGGATTAAGGGGAAAAATCATCAGTATTTTTTTTTCCTTTGGGTCCGGTCATGGGACCTGAACTCTGGGCCTGGGAACTGTCCCTCAGGTCTTCAGCTCAAGGCTAGCGCTCTACCACTTGAGCCACAGCACCACTTCCGGCTTTTTTCTTTTTGCTTATGTGGTGCTGAGGAATCAAACCCAGGACCTCAGGCATGTAAGGCAAGCGCTCTACCACTAAGCCAGCCACCTTCCCAGCCAGGTCAATATTCTTCTTTACTCTGGAATACCATCAAGTCTTAAAGCGGATGTGCTGGCTTCACCTGATAAAGCATTCTCAATCAAAACCATTTTCCCCAACATGTCTGTCAAATGTCTGATGTAGGAGAGGAGTCATGTAGTCCCAGGCAGGGAAAAGGTTAAGAGGGTTTGCTGACCTCTTCTCCTTGGGAAAAGTGGGAGGCTCCGTCTCACCATCTTTATCTCTTCAATTCTCAAGATTCTCAGTGCAGAGGCTGAGCAGTTTTGAATGAGTGTGTTTTCTGAATTCCCAGCCCCCGATGGTGAATTTGCCCTCCGCCGCAGCTTTGACACTCGTCCTCGTGTTCGTCTTCGGGCCCTGCGACTGGCCCTACTAGTCTTGCTGACCTTCACCCTCTGCTGGACACCTTATTACCTACTGGGTCTGTGGTACTGGTTCTCCCCCACCATGCTAAGTGAAGTCCCTCCCAGCCTCAGCCACATCCTTTTCCTCTTTGGCCTCCTAAATGCTCCTTTGGATCCTCTCCTCTATGGGGCCTTTACCCTTGGCTGCCAAAAAGGACGCCACCAACCAAGAATAGACTCCTCCAAGGAAGGAGGGTCCGGAAGAATGCCAGATCAAGCCCTCACACAGCTAGAAGTACAAGCAAATGTGATATCAAAAGAGGAAGAAGCAAAAGAGACATTCTTATAGCAGTCCATCAGCTCCCGATAGAGTATACAGGAACAGAATTATTCTCTGATACTCCAAGAATATCTCACTGCTACACTTGTATTCTTTCAAGAAAAATACTGAGAGGCTGGGAAGGTGGCTCAGTGGTAGAACACTTGCTTTGCATGCCTGAGGCCCTGGGTTCGATTCCTCAGCACCACATAAGCAAAAAGAAAAAAGCTGGAAGTGGCACTGTGGCTCAAGTAGCAGAGCGCTAGCCTTGAGCTGAAGAGCTGAGGGACAGCGCCCAGGCCCAGAGTTCAGACCCCACAACAGGACCCCCCCCAAAAAAAATATATATATATATTGAGCAAAATCTCTCATCATAACCCCACTAGAAACACACAATTCCATCCCTAGCAGAAATGTCTTCACAGTTACCCATAATGCCTTACTGTGAATAGTGCTTTAAAGCAGCTATTTTAGAACAGGAAAAACTTACATATAGAAAACAAAAATGCAACATTTATTCATAACCCAAAAGAAACACTATGCAACAAGAGTAAGAGATTAAATATAAACACAGCCCAGTCCTGCCTCAGCCCTCTCCAAGGCTGAATGTTCAAATGCAATCTTCAAGACCACTTGAACAGAGAACTTATCAGCGTCGTCTCCGGTCTGGACTCCTGCTCCGTCTCCGGCCACCTCTAAAGACAAATAGGAGAAAGGGCAGTTCATCAATGTCTTTGTTTTCTCCTCATGCTCCCTTTAACAAGATAGCATATGCCCTTTTTCTGTACCTCCTCTTGCCCTTGGGTGGACCCCGAACAAAACACCAGTCCACGCTGATTGGCTGTCCCATCAAATCCTGGCCATTGAGTCCCTCCATGGCAGCCTGGGCCTCTTTGTATGTTTCATATTCAACTAGAGTATACCCCTGGAACAAATGAAGAGACAGGTATCACTTCACATTTCCTCTTTCCTCAAATCCAAACTCAACAGCAAAATACACAAACTTTACACAATGAACATACATCATATATTCCTATTGCATGTACAACTTGTCTGATTTATTTCTGTTCTGTGCCTAACAATATCAATCTCCAGTGTTGTTTTCTTTCTGTGTGGGTACTCAGGGCCTGAGTGTTCTCTTAGCTGTTCTGCTCAATGCTAGTGCTCTACCATGTAAGGCACACATACTCTTCAGGCTTTCTGGTGGCTCCCTGGAGGTAAGATTCTCAGACTTTTGCACGGGCTGCCTTCTAATTGTGATCCTCAGATCTCAGTATCCTGAGAAGCTGGGATTATGGGTGCTGAGTCAAAAGCAACTGGCTCCAATGTTATTTTACTTCAATTTTATTCTTGGCAAACCACAGCAAAAACAGGAGAGCAATCAATGCCATTTAAGAGTTAAGGGGGTAAAGAACTAAAGAAGTGCAACCCAAAATACCTTTAGGTATCCTGTCCGCCTGTCTAAGTTGAGGTGGATATTTTTTATTTCCCCATATTCGGCGAATTTGTCGTGGATGTCTTCTTCAGTGGCTTCTTCATGTACTCCAGTGACAAAGAGAATCCAGCCTTCAACAGCTGTTGAGGAAGGGTAGAGTGGTGGTACGAACACATGAGATAAACTTCTAGCTTCAAGCGGGATCGCAAGGGTACAATGACAATAGACTCCATAGCATGGTTAGCCCGATTCACCCCTACTAGGCTCAGTTTTATTCGTGCCTAATTCCTGATCCCCATGGGCTCAAGGAAACTCACAGCGCTGCGGTCCGGGTTCATCTCCGTCCTGTTCCACGCTGTCGTAATCCTCGCGCATACGCGCCCGGGACCCCTCTTCTGAAAGGAACACACACCAGATCACCGAAAACTCTTCCCTTTGCCCGAGTGTTTTCCGCGAGTCGGGCTCCCGTCCTATTGGACCGCGGCCTCCCACCTCCCCCACACTCACCCGAGCCAAAGCCGCGGCCCTTCCGTTTCTTCGCCTTTTCTTTCAGTTTGTGGATGCTCTCTGGAGCCCCCAAAACGAAGAACAGGTATGAAAGTCATTGAAACGACCGCCTCCTTCCCGGGACCCTCCGTGAAGCACATTCCTCCCGACTACCAGGCTCGGCCCGGGCCCGCCCCATCCCTCCACGGGGGCGGGGCCTACTGAGACCCTGTTCCCGCACCCTGGGGCCCCGCTCCCGCAGACGTGTCTCCAGTTACAGTCTCCCCTCGCACCTTCCCCACTTCCCGCAGCCGCCTCCACCGTCCTCACCGTCCCCATCCTCATCCATGGCGAAATCCTCGCCCCCAGCCTCGTGAAGGTCCAGTACGTCCGCCATCTTGCCTGCCTTCCAGCTCCCGTCGGCGCCACCGAAGCGCTAAGAACCTCGGGAAACTGTCGCAGAGAGGAAAGGTCGCCAGTCAAGCTGACCAATCAGAGGCTAAGCCTTAGCTCCGCCCTCGGCGCGCGGGAGGTGGGATTTCTCGAAGGCGGGACTAGTCCAGAAAGAAAGCGGAAGTGCTTCTGTAGCCATCTTGAGGAGGTCTCGGGCTGACCCAGGGCGCCCTGGGCGGGACCAGCGAGGGTAGAAGGCGGAGTCTAAAAACCCTCAAAGCAAAGCCCGAGCTAAATTCCTTATTAAGAAGGGCTAGCTGGGCTGCGAAGGTGGTTCAGTGGTAGAATGCTTGCCTTGCATGCTATGAGGCCCTGGGTTCGATTCCTCAGCACCACATAAGCAGAAAAAACCCGAAATGGCTCTATGGTCGAGTGGTAGAGCGCTAGCCTTGAGCTGAAGAGGTGAGGGACAGGGCAGAAAGTCTGTTAAGCTCTCCAATGAACCACCAGAAAACCAGAAGTGGCACTGTGGCTGGCTCAGGCCCAGAGTTCAAGTCCCATGACGGGAAAAGAAAAAAAAAGCCATAAACATCATTCCAAGCTCAAGGATTCATTGACAAAAAGCTAGTGAGGTACCTGCCTGTAATCCTAGCATGATTCAAAACCAGCCCAAGCAAGAAAGTTTAGGAGATTTTTGTAGCTTTTTTGGTTTTGTTTTTTTCCAGAACTAAGGACCGAACCCAGGGCCTTGCGCATGCCAGGCAGGCGCCCTTCCGCTGGCTAAACCCCGCCCTCCCCAAGTTTAGGAGATTTTTATCTCCAGTTAACCAGCTTGCAAAAAGCAGGAAGTCAGTCGGGCGCCGGTGGCTCTGCTTATGTGTAATCCCAGCTATTCAGGAGTCTGAGAGCTGAAAATCGCGGTTCAAAGCCAGCTCAAGCAGGAAAGTCCCTGAGATTCTTATCTCCAAAAACACTCAGGACCGGAAGTAGAGCTATAGCTCAAATGGGAGGATGCTAATCTTGAGCAGAGAAGCTAAGGGATAGCACCCAGACCCTGAGTTCAAGCCCCAGTACTGACACACACACACAAAAATTTAATCATGTGATTTGGCCCTATCAAAACAACTTCAGGTAGGCCTCAAAATTCTAAAGAGCATTTTTCACAGCAATATAAACATCAGTACTAGCGAAAATCACACACCCACCAGCCCTTGGAGTAAGAGATAATTTCTGGTAATAAGGGATTTGGTGAAGATGGAGCTAATGTTTCTGGCTTAGGTAATTACGGGGGTTCAACAATGGAGTCATGAGAAGCAAGTATGGAGAAATGAGTTTTATTTTGAATATGTGAGTTCACAGTGCTCTGTCATATTCAGGTCGTGATGTCCAGTATAAAAATAGATGAAAGGGTCAAACCAAGTTGTGGTGGAAAGAATAGATTCTCCGTCTGTGTATGGAGGAGTAGAAACCATTAAAATAGGTGAGATTGCAGTGGAGATGAGTGGAGACTGAAGAGCTAAAGGGCCATGGGCAGATTCCAGGCTCCTGAACTGTCCGGAGTGGAGGCGGACTGCCTTTCCATGCACTGCAATCTCATTTCTTTCACTCTCAAAATAATAAAACTTTTTTTTTTTTTTTTTAGAGCTGGGCACTGGTGCCTCACGCTTATAATCCTACCTACTCAAGAGTCTGAGATCTGAGAATGGTATTTTGGTGCTAGCCTGGGCAGACCAATCCAAGACACTCTTATCTAGAGCACCTGCTGTGAGTAGAAAACGCTAAGAGCCTGCGGGCGCTGGTGACTCACACCTGTATCCTAGCTACTCAGGAGGCTGAGATCTGAGAATCGTTGTTCAAAGCCAGCCTGGGCAGGAAAGTTCGTGAGATTCTTATCTCCAGTAAACCACCAGAAAACCAGAAGTGGCACTGTGGCTCAAGTGGTAGAGCACTAGCCTTAAGCTGAAGAGCTGAGGGACAGCGCCCAGGTCCAGAGTTCAAGCCCCACAACCAGAAAAAAAAAATGCTAAGAGCTCAAATCCAACCGCCAGTACTGGCACCAAAACAGTTTTTTTAGTATATGAATAAATGAATGGGACCATTTTAGAGTTCCTCTGATGTATAAATAAAGAGTCCTACTGACTCACTGCACCAACAAAATCTATTTTAATGCATAAAATTATATATAAAATACAAGTATTAAGAAGATAACTAAAATCTTTAATACCAAAAGTAGACAAATTGGAGGACAAAGTTTCTCAAGTTTTTTGTGATCTTGGGTAACAGAAAAATAATGAATTCAACAGATACAAAGGTAGTTCTTCCTACAACTCCTACCACTTAATCCTTCTTCCCAAAGAAAAGAGTGCAGGAGAAAATGGAAGACTTATGTATGGTTTTGGATTATAAATATCAATAAAATAAATGTACCTATTATTTAGTGTGGAAGTCTACTCCAACCCTACATGTGTTGCATAGAATACAAAGAAAGGGCTTAAAAATTCAAGTGCTCATACAATTGTGTCTGGATTATTACCTCTGAACCTATGGGTATGGGTCCCAAAGATGATTTCAAAGTCAAGAAATCTCTCTGTCATCTTGCTCTTATCTAATCCAAAAGAGCAAGTTATAGTCTGTTTCCTGATTACATGTGAAAGCAAACCTGTGTTAAATGGAAATGCTCCACTTGATGGAACATTAAACACAGACTCAGGAAAGAGCACTGTACAACACTGCAGTATAAAGGAGACTTCAGAAGCAAAAAAATGTCCAAAAGGAAAATGCTCTGGCTGTATTCCATACTGTTTCTCTCTAATTTCACCCAAGAGAGGTGAGGAAGGAAAACTATTCATTAAAAACACAAAGAGCTGATTATTGGTTTTCTTTCTTCTCCTTTAGTTTCCCAAGGTTCCAATTAGAAAGTGCCATAAAACTATATTTTCATCTAATTTTCCTGATCAATCCATACTGCAATACTTTGGAGGAAAAGAAAAAGAAATGAGAATCTAATATATATATATATATAAAGTATAAACAACAGCAACTTAGGGGAAGTGAGAGGGATTCACTTCCTGACTCACCAAATAGAACAGCCACTGCTTCCACAGAGCAAAAGCACAGGGATAGAAAGGAATAATTTTATCTTCTACCAATCTTTGTAGGCAGGAAGATTTTAATCTAGTATTTAACTAAGATAAAGGAACAGAGAAGAAAGGGAAAAATAATCAGTCTCAACCCTGATGCTCTTCCTATGTACATCCAGAAATCTGGACTGGCAGAAGCGTAGAGATTAGGCCCAGAATCAACTTAGTTAGTTATGCCCATTGTGTTTATAATTCTTCTCTCATTTCTGGGCAGATTTTTAGTTGTGACTTAAAGATCAGAAACTAGCCAGGGGCTGTTGGTTGGGCTCATGCCTGTCAACCTGTCTACTCAGGAGGCTGAGATATGAAGATCCAGGTTCAAAGCCAGCCTGGGCAAAAAGTCTAAGAGACTCTTATTTCCAATTAACCAGCAAAAAGCTAGAAGTGAAGCTGTGGCTCAAGTGATGAAGCACTAGCCTTGAGCAAAAAAGTGCCCAGGCACTGAAATTCTAGCCCCTGTACAATCCTTTCCTCTCCCCGCCCACCAAAAAAAAAAAAAAATCCACAAAAAAGTGTTTGGAGGCAAAGAAGTAGTACTAAGCAGTACTGGCTCCAGATAAACCAAAGCCAGAGGCTTCTTACTCATACCCTGTTTGAGTCCAGGAGAAAGCAAGAATGAGGGTGAGAGTGGGCATATGATCCTGCTTAGTCTCCCTGTTATTTTAAAGGAGACACCAACAGTCAATGACAGTGAGCAACTGATGACTGCACAGAGTTGATCTGGAAGTATAAACACCACCAAAGATCCAAATTGAAATGGAGATGTTTCAAATGAAAAGATACCCAAAGCTAGAAGTTAGAAAGAGATTTAGCAAATAGGAATCCAGGTGTAGAATTTATACATATATATATTTTTAAAAGTACAAAACTGAGAAAGTATATACAGAAATTATCCTAAGTCTTAGAAAGAGACATAGAAAAAAGGGCTAGAGAGGACAGGCCATGTGAGGAGAGAGGCCTAGCAGTTGGAAGGGTGCATATTGCTCAACTGTCCAGCAGCCAGCATGAGAATATCTTTCTTTTCCTTGTGGAAGCGCAGTTCCTTGCCCGCGAGCCGGGCCTCATCCAGCTCGCGTTCAGTGGAGGCCAGCTCTCTAGACAGTGCCCCGGGCACAGTCTGCTCCCGGCTCACCCAGTCCAAGGCCATTTGGTGGCGAATATCATCATCCAGTGCCCGGTGTGAATAATGAGCCAACACCTCCTAATCAGGAGAAAATAGATCTCAGCAAAGGTAAAACCACAGATCAAACCACAGTCACCCAGCTGGGGGCTAACCTTGGAGCCTAACTTCCTAACTGAGGTCTGAGGTCAGCACCTGAGTCCAATAAGATTCTTCTTTTTCCTTCTGAAACAAGGTCTTACTATCTGGCACAGTCTCGGCTCTCCAAGGTCTTCCCACACAGAGTGGTACTGTGGGGTTTCTAACTTGTTAGGCAGATACTCCTTGAGTCATGCCTCCAATCCTTTGAACTCTTGCTCTGTCTGTGTGTATGTGTGAGCGTGCACACACACTCTCGCGCACACGGGTGATACCTGGTACCAGGACTTGAACTCAGGGCCTGGGCACTGTAACTTAACATTTTTGCTCAAGGCTAGTGCTCTGTCACTTAAGCCACAGCTCTATTTTTTGTTGGGTAATTAGAGATAAGAGTCCCACTTTTTCTGCATGAGATGGCTTCAAACCAGGATCCTCAGATCTCAGTCTCCTGAGTAGCTAAGATTACAGGTGTGACCTACCAGTGTCCAGCTTTACTCAGTTATTTTAGAGAAAGGATCTTGCTCCTTGCTCATGCCAGCCTGGACATATGAGTCTTCATATTTACACTTCTAGCAGCTGGGAAGACAGTTGTCCAGCTGTCTGTTGAAATGAACAGGTAACTGGCGTAACAGTTGTGCACCATTGCACACAGCTATTAGCTGAGATGGGAGGTCTCATGAATGTATTTTGTCACGGCTGGCCTTGAACCATGATTCTCCTAATCTACCTCTCAAATAGCCAGATTTACAGACATGAACCACTGGTGCCTGCCTTCCAAGGTGTGTGTGTCAAGGTGTGTGTGTGTGTGTGTGTGTGTGTGTGTGTGTGTGTGTTGGTACTGGGACTTGAACTCAGAGCCTTGAGTTGGTGCTCTACCACTTAAGCCACACCTTCAGTTCTGGCTTTTTGCTGGTCACCTAGAGAAAAAGGTGCCACAGATTAGTCTGACTAGGCTGGCTTCAAGCTGCTCTCCCTCAGATCTCAGCCTTCTGAATAGCTAGGATTATAGGAGTGAGCCACTAGCACCTGACTCTAAGGGAATT